TCACCCCGACTACTCCTGATTACTCCCTCACCCCCCAACTACTCCTGATTACTGACTCACTCACTCACCCCACTTAAACCTCTTGAATACTTTCTCAACCCAAATGCTCCCCCTGATTACTGACTCACTCACCCCAACTACTCCTCCTGATTACTGACTCACCCCGACTACTCCTGATTACTCCCTCACCCCAACTACTCCTGATTACTGACTCACTCACTCACCCCACTTAAACCTCTTGAATACTCACTCAACCCAAATGCTCCTCCTGATTACTGACTCACTCACCCCAGCTACTACTCCTGATTACTGACTCACTCACTCACCCCAACTTCACCTCTTGATAACTGACTCACCACAACTACTCTTCCTGATTACTGACTCATTCATCCCAACTACTCCTCCTGAATACTGACTCACTCACCCCAACTACTCCTCCTGATTACCGACTCACTCACTCACCCCAACTACTCCTCCTGAATACTGACTCACTCACCCCAACTGCTCCTCCTGATTACTGACTCACTCACCCCAACTACTCCTCCTGATTACCGACTCACTCACTCACCCCAACTACTTCCCCTGAGTACTGATTCACACTCTCAACCCAACTACTACTTCTGATTACTGACTCACCCCCACTACTCCTCCTGATTACTGACTCACTCACTCACCCCAACTACTCCTCCTGATTACTGACTCACTCACCCTAACTACTACTCCTGATTACTGACTCACCCCAACTACTACTCCTGATTACTGACTCACTCACTCACCCTAACTTCTCCTCCTGATTACTCACCCAAACTACTCCTGATTACTGACTCACTCACCCCAACTACTCCTGATTACTGACTCACTCACTCACCCCACTTAAACCTCTTGAATACTCACTCAACCCAAATGGTCCTCCTGATTACTGATTCACTCAACCCAACTACTCCTCCTGATTACTGACTCACCCCGACTACTCCTGATTACTCCCTCACCCCAACTACTCCTGATTACTGACTCACTCACTCACCCCACTTAAACCTCTTGAATACTCACTCAACCCAAATGCTCCTCCTGATTAATGACTCATTTACCCCAACTAAACCTCTTGATTACTCACTGAACCCAAATACCCCTCCTGATTACTGACTCACTCACCCCAACTACTACTCCTGATTACTGACTCACTCACTCACCCCAACTACACTTCTTGATTACTGACTCACCACAACTACTCCTCCTGATTACTGACCCACTCACTCACCCCAACTACTCCTCCTGATTACCGACTCACTCACTAACCCCTACTACTACTCCTGATTACTGACTCACTCACCCCAACTACTCCTCCTGATTACCGACTCACTCACTCACCCCAACTACTCCTCCTGATTACTGACCCACTCACTCACCCCAACTACTCCTCCTGATTACCGACTCACTCACTAACCCCTACTACTCCTGATTACTGACTCACTCATCCCAACTACTCCTCCTGATTACTGACTCACTCATCCCAACTATTGCTCCTGATTACTGACCCACCCCAACTACTCCTGATTACTCTCAACCTAACTACTACTCAGGATTACTGACTCACTCACTCACCCCAACTGCTCTTCCTGATTACTGACTCACTCATCCCAACTACTGCTCCTGATTACTGACCCACCCCAACTACTCCTGATTACTGACTCACTCACACCACACATAAAACTCTTGATTACCCACTCACCCCAACTACTCCTCCTGGTTACTGACTCACTCACCCCAACTTCTCCTGATTACTGACCCACTCACTCACCCCAACTACTCCTACTGATTACTGACTCACTCACTCACCCCAACTACTCCTCCTGATTACTGACTCACTCACTCACCCCAACTACACTTCTTGATTACTGACTCACCACAACTACTCCTCCTGATTACTGACCCACTCACTCACCCCAACTACTCCTCCTGATTACCGACTCACTCACTAACCCCTACTACTACTCCTGATTACTGACTCACTCACCCCAACTACTCCTCCTGATTACCGACTCACTCACTCACCCCAACTACTCCTCCTGATTACTGACCCACTCACTCACCCCAACTACTCCTCCTGATTACCGACTCACTCACTAACCCCTACTACTCCTGATTACTGACTCACTCATCCCAACTACTCCTCCTGATTACTGACTCACTCATCCCAACTATTGCTCCTGATTACTGACCCACCCCAACTACTCCTGATTACTCTCAACCTAACTACTACTCAGGATTACTGACTCACTCACTCACCCCAACTGCTCTTCCTGATTACTGACTCACTCATCCCAACTACTGCTCCTGATTACTGACCCACCCCAACTACTCCTGATTACTGACTCACTCACACCACACATAAAACTCTTGATTACCCACTCACCCCAACTACTCCTCCTGGTTACTGACTCACTCACCCCAACTTCTCCTGATTACTGACCCACTCACTCACCCCAACTACTCCTACTGATTACTGACTCACTCACTCACCCCAACTACTCCTCCTGATTACTGACTCAATCATTCACCCGAACTACTCCTCCTGATTACTGACTCACTTACTCACCCCAACTACTCCTCCTGATTACTCACTCACTAACTCATCTCAACTACTCCTTATGATTACTGACTGACTCACTCACCCCAACTACTCCTCTTGATTACTCACTCACCCCAACTACTCCTGATTACTGACTCACTCATCCCAAGTACTCACCCAGATCACCCACTCACCCTGGTACTCGACCTGTACGTGTATAGTTCAAGTCTCCAGCAGGACAGTATTCGACAGAAAGTATTCACGCCAGTCACAGGTCAAAGCAGGATTTAGGAGAAGATAAGTTTTTAAAGAAAAGTTGTGTAAATCGTGCGTGTTGAAATGTTGAAGTGTTGAAGTGATGAGGTGATCCACGTAGCTGAGGTCAGAGGTCGGCAGTGAAAGGAACACTGTGTTCTACTTCACGACAACACTTTACAACGCGATCTACTCACGGACAATCAAAGGAATCTGGAAAACCTGGGTCAGGGTTGAAGACATGCTTAAGTTGAACTAAACACGCATCACTTGAAAGAAGTCAACTATATGTTTGTCATGATTGAGGGAAGACATAAACACTTTGCCACAACCCCCTCCACAAAAACCCCCGCCCCACAACTCCTTCCCCACAACCCCCTCCCTACAACCCCCCTCCCCACAACCCCCTCCAAACCTCGTACAAAGGATGAGGTCTTACAAGAAAAAAAGTAAACCTCCCAAATTGTTATTACGAGATATTATAGATAAAATGGATAGAATTATCATCACATCGCCCGCATGTTATCAGAAATGAGCAGGCACATTAAACATCAGTGATTGACATCATGAGCATCCACGCAATTGGGATACGATGACATGCATCAACCAAGTCAGCGAGCTTGACCACCCCGATCCCGTTAGTCGCCTCTTACGGCAAACATTGGGCTGAAGACCTATTCTACCCCCGATCTTCACGGGTCACATCAATATGAGAACCCGGTAGACACAAAACGAACGGACTAATTTACCTGCCCGTGGCTCCGTCTGATGAGTCCCACGTACACCCAGACGAACCGAGTATATGTGTTGACAGACTACGATCGGATGAATATCCGCACATGGGGTAACCCAATTCGCGATCTCTGGCCCCAACCATGCATTTGTATTTCATGCATAATCAATACCAGAGCCTGACTAGAGCCTGTTGATACCTGATTGCGCATTTATAATAACCTGGGCAGGTAAGCGTCGCCGGTGAGCATGAGGTCAAGGGAAATAACTCCAATTTGGTCAAAAATACATCTGATATTCTGTAAAATTGATCATCATTCTATTTCAGTCAATGCCGTGGTCTCGTGTATACTGCCGTGAGTACGTATATCTGTACGTTATACTGTGTAAGTAGTTTATCTGATACGTCTTCACGTATCGTAAAGGTTTAGCTGCAGTTCATTTTCGCAGGCTTAAAACTTTAGATTCAAATTTAAATTTTAAATTTCCAAATTAACATGCTATCAACAATGTTGGTATTCAATCTACACCCGTTATTATCGTCTGGGTGTACATATTCAGGACCTGGTGAGGAAGTAAGTATATCCTACGAAACCATGTGTTCCTCATAATAAAGACGTTGACATCCATACATACCTGATGAAGGAGTAAGTGTTTCCTCCGAAACCCTGTTTTCCTCATAATAAAGAAGTTGACATCCATACATACCTTATGAAGAAGTAAGTAAATCCTCCGAAACGAACGTTGTGTTCCTCAAAATAAAGAAGTTGACATGCATACATACCTGATGAAGGAGTAAGTGTTTCCTCCGAAACCCTGTTTTCCTCATAATAAAGAAGTTGACATCCATACATACCTTATGAAGAAGTAAGTAAATCCTCCGAAACGAACGTTGTGTTCCTCAAAATAAAGAAGTTGACATGCATACATACCTGATGAAGGAGTAAGTGTTTCCTCGGAAACCCTGTTTTCCTCATAATAAAGAAGTTGACATCCATACATACCTGATGAAGAAGTAAGTAAATCCTCCGAAACGAACGTTGTGTTCCTCAAAATAAAGAAGTTGACATGCATACATACCTGATGAAGGAGTAAGTGTTTCCTCGGAAACCCTGTTTTCCTCATAATAAAGAAGTTGACATCCATACATACCTGATGAAGAAGACAGTAAATCCTCCGAAACGAACGTTGTGTTCCTCAAAATAAAGAAGTTGTCATGCATACATACCTGATGAGGAAGTAAGTTTATCTTCCGAAACGTTGTGTTCCTCTTAGTAAAGAAGTTGACATCCATACATACCTGATGAAGAAGTAAGTATATCCTCCGAAACGCTGTGTTCCTCATGATTAAGAAGTTGACATCCATACATATATGATGAAGGAGTAAGTATATCCTCCGAAACGCTGTGTTCCTCATAATAAAGAAGTGGACATCCCTACATACCTGATGAAGGAGTAAGTATATCCTCCGAAACGTTGTGTTCCTCATAGTAAAGAAGTTGACATCCGTGAATTTCTCTTCCCTCTGTGTATCACTTCTGAATGCCTTTCAAAGACTCGCAATTAACAAGCTGCATGTTATTCCACCTGTGACGGAGTGCAAGGGACATGGAATTTGATACTACCATCGTGTGTATAACCATTGCTCATTGACACAGAACAGGAAATAGTCACTGGGGGCTAAGTCTGGGCTGTAGGGTGGGTGATTTAACTGTACCGCCCAGACTTAGCCCCCAGTGACTATTTCCTGTTCTGGGAAATGAAATCTGCCCTACGTGGAAGACGCTTCCGGGATGATGAGGACATAAAGGCTGCCTCAGAGGCGTGGTTAGAGGGCCAATCTGTGGATTTCTATAAAAGTGGTATTAAAAGCTTGAAGGACAAATGGAATAAGTGTATTGAGGTGAATTGAGATTATATTGAAAGATAAAAGTGCAAAAGATATTCTGCGACTTGGTCTTATATTGAAGTTGCAAACCTCATTGGACGTCCCTCGTATATCTTCGGACTGTTTTCGATAACACCAACAAACAACGCTAACTGGATTGTTTTGTTTTTAAATGCCGTGACGGTGAACGGACACTTAGTTATCTTCTACTCTGGACATGTTTTGTCGTTTTCGTTACATGTCACTTCCTGGCTTCGTCAAAGCCTCGTTCTGACATTCATGGCCACCCCACTCCCTACTGTTCTGCCCTCCCTCTTCAAATGTCAAAGAGTTTGACAAATCCTAATTTAAGCTTTAGAGGTCAACTATGTTGTCAGAACCAGTTCAAATATCTCATTTCGGATCTAAATATCTCAGGTACACATGTCGGTCTTTGCCTCTGGCTCTGGAAATTGATTGTATTATGTTTGTAATGAGCACGTGTCTCGTGGCAATATCAGTGACTGACAGTTTACGACTGAGGTTAAATCTCTATATCAATGTACGGTGAGCATTGTATTTGTTGTTCTGCATGGCTAGGTTTGAAAAATACCTCATACATGTGTACAACTCCACGCTAGGATCGACTGTATTCTGGGGCGTGGGGCGGGGGCGGGGGACGGGATGGAGGGGTGGAGTGCTGAGGGGGCTTGGTTGATCGGGTGATTGGTTGTAGTAAGGCTGGGTCACTGTCCAAGATATACAATGTTTTCTCTGAAACACATTATTGTCTATTGTTCCGTTCCTTTTAATAATAATATTTTAAACAATGTTTCTTCCTATGATTCTCAACGTTTCATCCTTGCTTCACCCCATCTTTCACCGCATCTTTCACCCCGTCTTGCACCCCATCTCTCACCCCGTCTTGCGACCCATCTTTTACCCCATCTATCACCCCATCTTTCACCCCATCTTTCACCCCATCTTTCACCCCATCTTTCATCCCACCTTTCACCCCATCTTTCACCTTGCATCTTTCACCCCGTCTTGCACCCCATCTTTCACCCCATCTTTCATCCCACCTTTCACCTTGCATCTTTCACCCCGTCTTGCACCCCATCCTTCACCCCATCTTTCACCCCATCTTTCACCCCATCTTTCACCCCATCTTTCATCCCACCTTTCACCCCGTCTTTCACCCCGTCTTGCACCCCATCTTTCACCCCATCTTTCATCCCATCTTTCACCCCATCTTTCATCCCACCTTTCACCCCATCTTTCACCCCATCTTTCATCCCACCTTTCACCCCGTCTTTCACCCCGTCTTGCACCCCGTCTTTCACCCCGTCTTGCACCCCATCTTTCATCCCACCTTTCACCCCGTCTTTCACCCCGTCTTGCACCCCGTCTTTCACCCCATCTTTCACCCCATCTTTCACCCCACCTTTCACCCCGTCTTTCACCCCGTCTTGCACCCCATCTTTCATCCCACCTTTCACCCCGTCTTTCACCCCGTCTTGCACCCCGTCTTTCACCCCATCTTTCACCCCATCTTTCACCCCATCTTTCACCCCACCTTTCACCCCGTCTTTCACCCCGTCTTGCACCCCATCTTTCATCCCACCTTTCACCCCGTCTTTCACCCCGTCTTTCACCCCATCTTTCACCCCATCTTTCACCCCATCTTTCACCCCATCTTTCATCCCATCTTTCACCCCATCTTTCATCCCACCTTTCACCCCATCTTTCACCCCATCTTTCACCCCGTCTTTCACCCCGTCTTGCACCCCATCTTTCATCCCACCTTTCACCCCGTCTTTCACCCCGTCTTGCACCCCGTCTTTCACCCCATCTTTCACCCCATCTTTCACCCCATCTTTCACCCCACCTTTCACCCCGTCTTTCACCCCGTCTTGCACCCCATCTTTCATCCCACCTTTCACCCCGTCTTTCACCCCGTCTTTCACCCCATCTTTCACCCCATCTTTCACCCCATCTTTCACCCCATCTTTCATCCCATCTTTCACCCCATCTTTCATCCCACCTTTCACCCCATCTTTCACCCCATCTTTCACCCCGTCTTTCACCCCGTCTTGCACCCCATCTTTCACCCCATCTTTCACCCCATCTTTCACCCCATCTTTCACCCCATCTTTCATCCCACCTTTCACCCCATCTTTCACCCCATCTTTCACCCCATCTTTCACCCCGTCTTGCACCCCATCTTTCACCCCATCTTTCACCCCATCTTTCACCCCATCTTTCACCCCGTCTTTCACCCCGTCTTTCACCCCATCTATCACCCCATCTTTCACCCCGTCTTTCACCCCACCTTTCACCCCATCTTTCACCCCATCTTTCACAACACATGAGGTGGCCTACTGCAGTAACGTTGCTAATGCTACATTGAGCCATTGCTCTTGGGTTCGAGTCCGCTCCGCGTACGACCATTGGTCTGTCACTACCATGCCCGTGTCCTTGGCCTTTGATGACGTTGTAAACAGCCATGTCACCATTTTGGACCCCCCTTCTCTATTTAGGCTGGACGCCACTACATAATATTGATACCAAATCTCATTCCCATATGAGCACTATCTGACAGGTATGCTTGACCAGAGTTCACGTGAGCAATGTCAGCGTAGTGTCTGTCGCCCACATGTCATCACAGAATTCTAACTACGTTCACGGAGGCCCTGAGACCGCCTCCGTGGTCTTGTGGTAGAGCGTCCGCCCGGAGAGCGGAAGGTCCGGGGTTCGATCCCGGGCCGCGTCATACAAAAAGACGTTAAAAGATTGTACTTGTTGTTACCCTGTCTGGCGCTCGGCATTAAGGGGCTAAAACAAGGACTGGTCGGCTCGGAGTCAGTATACTGTGTCTGAGTGGGGTATTCATGTTAAACTGCGGCATGGTATCTCAGTGAGCTAGCACTATAAATCGGCATCAGTCCGGACTAGTACAAGCAGCCACACACACACATACACGTGCATGCACGTCGCTATATAAGTGCAATAATCTTGGACGCGACGTTAAACCCAATTTCACCTCACCTCACCTCACGGAGGCCCTGATAGAAACATAGCACTATGTCTCATCGGGAGAGGGGCGGTAAGGAGGAGGGGTGTGTGTATAGACATATAAAATTGCAATCAAACCTTTACCAGCATATTAATTCTCCAATACCCCCTGTCAACATTCATATCACAACTATAAATTATTCAATCTCCACTATTCATATAGACCCGGTGTGACCTGCTGAATGACGCCACCCTCTATCCCCCTGTTTATATACACTCCATCAATGCCCGGGCTGTTCATATCTCCACGCTGCACAATAAGCGGCCCGTTGAGAGGCGGTCGCCCGTAGCATAGCTACACACAGGCGCGTCTCTCCACTCAGTCGGTCGAGATGAAGTCAATAGGACGGTATATATGTGACTGATTCTGGGCCAAGTATGTGTAGTCATTAATTATAAAGAACCATGTATGTTATGCTATTTCTTCAGCAGGGCTGTACGATGTGTGTGCTGTATTAAATAAAAAAAACAATCTAGATCATATACAAGCATGCCTTGCCAGCACTAGAGAAGCCATGAGAGAAAAATGCATTGTGTAAAATAAACTTTCCTGAAATATGTATTTGCCTAAAGTTAAACTGTGACATAGTGTAAAATACACGGTGAACCATCACATGTTTATAGCCAAATACGTATATTAACTATATAGTACCATACATTGTTAATTATCACATGTTTATATCCAAGTACGTATATTAACTATATAGTACCATACATGGTGAACTATCACATGTTAATATCCAAGTACTTATATTAACTATATAGTACCATACATGGTGAACTATCACATGTTTATATCCAAGTACGTATATTAACTATATAGTACCATACATGGTGAACTATCACATGTTAATATCCAAGTACGTATATTAACTATATAGTACCATACATGGTGAACTATCACATGTTTATATCCAAGTACGTACATTAACTATATAGTACCATACATGGTGAACTATCACTTGTTTATATCCAAGTACGTACATTAACTATATAGTACCATACATGGTGAACTATCACATGTTTATATCCAAGTACGTATATTAACTATATAGTACCATACATGGTGAACTATCACATGTTAATATCTAAGTACTTATATTAACTATATAGTACCATACATGGTGAACTATCACATGTTAATATCCAAGTACGTATATTAACTATATAGTACCATACATGGTGAACTATCACATGTTTATATCCAAGTACGTATATTAACTATATAGTACCATACATGGTGAACTATCACATGTTAATATCTAAGTACTTATATTAACTATATAGTACCATACATGGTGAACTATCACATGTTAATATCCAAGTACGTATATTAACTATATAGTACCATACATGGTGAACTATCACATGTTAATATCCAAGTACTTATATTAACTATATAGTACCATACATGATGAACTATCACTTGTTTATATCCAAGTACGTATATTAACTATATAGTACCATACATGGTGAACTATCACATGTTTATATCCAAGTACGTACATTAACTATATAGTACCATACATGGTGAACTATCAAATGTTTATATCCAAGTACGTACATTAACTATATAGTACCACACATGGTGAACTACCACCATAAGAATGCACATATTTAGTCAATATTATCTATATATAAGTAGAAATTCTTGGTAATATCATCAAACTTACTGCTGCTGGTAATGTGGCGTCCATGGCTACTGATTTCCATGGCAACTGCCAG